TAGGGTCATCCTCTTTTTTTCCCCTCAACTCATTTTTGCTCCAGACTCACTGTCTGGAGTTAGTGAGTGACTGATAAAGGGTGTTTAACACAGGGCACGTCCAGCACCAGCCAAAGCCTTTTGAAAGCAGCTGAGATGCAGCGAGGCAGCAGCTGCCTCAGCCCCTGTGGAGACAACATTCAGCCAGGTTTTAAACCAAAAAAAAAAAGAGGTTTTCTGGGTGCCATCAGCGTGGAGAGATGCTCTGCATGGCCAAGGGAGCAGGTTCCCATCCAGGTGCTCAGCAGGTGTTTTCCCAAGGTGTCTCCTGGCCCTGTCCTCCAGCACAGCACTTCGGGGGGGGCACAAAACCCCTCAGCTGAGGCCGGTGTGATGAGCTGCCTGCCCACAGGACGTGGGTTTTTCCCCTTGCCTTGGCCCTGCGTTGTGGCACCATCATCCTTTGGGTCTCTGAGCTCGTGCTGGACACGGGGGTGACCCGAGGGAGCGAACCAACTCATTGTCTGGTGTGAGAACAGGTCACCCCCAGCTCGAGGAGGAGCTCAGGGAAGGCAAAGCACCTTGAGAAAAGCTTTTTCCTGCCTCTGTCCCAGCCTTCTTGGCACCCTGGGAAAAATGGGTTGTTTCAGCGTGGTGTTTCCCAGAGCTGCTGAAAGAACAAAATGATGTGGAAAGGGAGGCAAAACCTTCCCCTTGGGGTGCCCAGGTGATTCCACAGGCTTCGAGTGGGCACGGAATGAGGACCTGTGTTTGCAGCAGCCACCCAGCTCTGCCTCCCCTCGAGCCCCCCGCGCTCAGCAAGCTGGACTGTGAGATTTAAATCGATAGGAAATTATTACTGAGGTTAAAGGAACACCTCTGGAGCACCTCTCGCTCTCCTCTCCCCTGCCTGTGCCCCTTTGTTCTCCGCCGTGTTCCTCGGGCTCCCCTGGCAACCCCGGCACGCAGAGGGTGGCCTGGAGCTGGGATATCTCCTCCCGGATCTGGGCTGAGGAGGTGGTGTGGGAACCAGACAAGTGGTACCTGAGCTGGCAGGATTATCTGGGAGATCACCCCACCCCGGGCACGGGGCTTTGAGGGGCCGGAGCGGGACCGGGGCACACTCAGACACTCCTTGAGTCACCGACCTGGGAAGGTCTGGGGCTGGCTCAGCTCGTGTCCTGTCTGCCTTTTTTAGGTGTGGGTGGCTCCATGTCCCAGCTCCAGAGCTCCTGGGACGTGCAGCAGCGGAGCATGGCGTATTTTCCAGATCCAGGTACGGGATGTTCTCCTCGGGGTTGGGTCTGTCTCTTCCTGGGAGCTTTCTCCAGGCACCACCAACCACCAGGACCCCTCTCTGAAGGTGCCAGGACCACTGGCCATGCCAGTCTTCACGGGAGAAAACTCCAAGCTCCTGGGGTTGCTCTGGGAGCATCTCCAGGTGCTGCAGGGCTGTGGAGCCTTTGGGCTCTGTGTGGCAGCTCTGCTCTCCCCTGGCAAGGCCCAAGAGCACTCCAGGCTTCCCTGGGTCGAGCAAGAGCTTTGCAGTGAGACTTTAATTGTAGGATCGTCCTCTTTTTTTCCCCTCAACTCATTTTTGCTCCAGACTCGCTGTCTGGAGTTACTGAGTGACTGATAAAGGGTATTTTACACAGGGCAAGTCCAGCACCAGCCAAAGCCTTTTGAAAGCAGCTGAGATGCAGCGAGGTATCAGCCCCTGTGGAGAAAACATTCAGCCAGGCTTTAAACAAAAGAAAAAGCTTGCGTGATGCTCCTGAATCAGCTCAAAATTTCTCATCCCGAGATGCACAGAGGGGACAACTCTGTCCTCTGTGCAGGGAAACTGAGGCACAGGAGCTGCTGGGAGCTGCCAGGGTGAGCTGAGCTGCACCCACAGCCTCGGGGTGACCTTTGCCAAGATATGGCACCAGGAAAACTTTACAACCTTTATTTTCCTGGTGCTTTTAGATGCTCAGTGTTCCTAATAGACAGATTTCTGCCAGCAGATATCACAAGCCAGGGAGAGTCTTTTAAAAGCTCCTTTTAGTTCTCATTCCAGCGATCTGCCCTGGGAGCACTATTTCCTCCCACCCTCGTTTACAGCCCTGTGAGGGATTTTTTTTTAAAAAAAAAACAATCTTCATTTTGAGTCATGTTCAGGTTATTTTCTCACTTACGGGAGCTGGTGCCGCTTCCTGTCAGAGCACGAGGGAAATTCTCTGCTGCATCTGGGCTGTGTCACCTCCTGCCCTGGGGTTTTAGGGCCAGTTCTGCTCCCCCTCAAGGCTTTCTGGAGGAAAAGGGGCAAAGGAAACCCCCAGGGCGTGGGGTGAGCTGTAGGAGTTCTCCCAAAAAGGGCTGTGAGTGTGTTCTGCGGGGTGTGGGGAGGGGGATCAGCCCTGGTTTTAGGGGGGACACCAATGGGCTCCTCAGGGCAGTGGGCACAGCACCGAGCCTGCCAGAGCTCCAGGAGCGTTTGGATGATCCTCTGGGGCACAGGGTGGGGCTTTGGGGTGTCCTGCACAGGGCTGAGGTGCTCCTTGTGGGTCCCTCCCAGCTCAGCCCACCCTGTGATCCCGTGAGACCCGGCTTGGTGGTGGTGGGAGCCCCCGGAGCCAGAGGGGACACGAGTTGGGGACGCGAGTTCCTCCCGCCGAAGCCAAGGCAAGGGGGAAAAAACCCCAAAACCCCAAAAATCCTTTATTTGCATCTAACTGGCTTTTTGTATCGCTGTGATAACAGCTTGACAAAATAAACCCCTGGCTTTGCTCCCCCCCCAGACATGGAGCCCGGGGCTGCCAGCACGTCCCTGCCCGACCCCGCCGGCGACGGCGACCGGAACGTGCCGCGGATCTGCGGCGTCTGCGGGGACAGGGCCACCGGCTTCCACTTCAATGCCATGACCTGCGAGGGCTGCAAGGGCTTCTTCAGGTGAGAGGAACCGGGGATGAGGCGCTGGAAAGCGGTGCCAGGGCCTGGGGGTGCCCCGGCAGCCAGGAGGGCCAAGCGTGTCCTGCCTGGGGGGCATCGCTGGGTGAGGGAGGGGATTGTCCTGCTCTGCACCTGCCACGTTGGGGTGTTTGGGGCACCAGAATGTAAGATTTTAAGCCATTAGAGAGCATTGAAAGGAGGCCACGAGGGTGGGGAAGGGCCCTGAGGGGAGGGGCTGAGGGCACTTGGTGTGTTCAGCTGGAGAAGAAGAGGCTGAGGGGAGGCAGCATTTTGGTGAAGGCTCAGTTTGACCCCTGTCCCAGCGATGCTCCAGGACTGACCCATCCTCATGGCAGTCCAGGGCACTTGCATCAAGCGAGAGAATGACTAATTGCTGGTGAAATGAAGGCACCTGATGATGATGATGATGATGATGATGATGGCGTGGGATGGGCTGGGAAGGGCCTTGCTCAAGTGTTCTGCACCAGCAAGGCCCGGTTTACACCTTTGAGCTGGGCTCTTGCAGGGCTTGAACTTCTGCAGCAAAGCCATAACTCCTCCTCTGGCAGGAATTTGGGGGTTTTCACAGACCACAGTTTTCCGTGACCTGTTCTCAGCCACGGTGGCTCTGAAGCCACCAGCCAGGTCACCACAACACTTTCCCCAATTCCTGCTGCTAAACTCTTCTTTCAGGTGCTCTCCCCTGCTCTGCTCTGCTCTCCCTGCCACCTTCCCCATCCCTGTGGTGACAACAGGCTGGCTTTTGGCCCCTGGAATGGCCAGTGCCCCTTTCCTGAGAATGACATGGCTCTTGTGCCCCCCGAGCCCCATCTCTGTTGTCACACCCCTGGAATCGTGCAGGACCCTCACCTGGGACAGTATTTCTGAGCAGACACCGTTGTGTGCCAAGCTCTCCTCCCTAGCCAGCCCTTCATGCCCCCAATCAAAGCCTTTATTTTCAATTTAAGGCTCTTGCTACTTTTTAATCTTGCTTTCCAGGCACGCTCTCCCCAAGCCAGGTCTTGGTGCGTTCCCCTCTTGTTTACACTGGCATCTTTACACGCCTTTTTCAACCCCTGAATTAATTAATTCTTGCTGGTGCCACAGCATTGAAGTGCTTTCTGCTGCTGGGAGAGCCTGGGCACTAAAACTGCCCCAGGGAAGCTGTGCCTCCCTTTGCTGCCTCGGGGTTTATAACACACTGCGTCCACTCGCTGGTTTTCAACTCCCAGCTCGTGGATCTTTGAGAAAACCTCTGCCCTGGTATCGATTTCTGGGCACTCCCAGGGCTGGAAGAGGGTGAGCAGCTGGGAATATCGTGGGAATATTGAACCCAGGGGCTGTCTCCCAGCTTTTGCTGGGTGAACTCTGGCTGTGGGGTGACTCTCTCCCTCCCTGGGCCGGGCTGGGACTGGTTCTGCCGTGCCTGGAGCCTCGTGCGGGTGGTGGAGGGACAGGACCTGAGCCTTGGCTCGTGGGGGTGGCAGCAGAACTGCTGCAGGACCCCCCTGGTGGCTCTCACCTCCCTTGGGGACATACCTGGGACACGGTTTCCCCCTGCTCAAAGTCCCCCAGGAGGTCCTGGGTTTAATGACCCCGTTAATTAGGACTTTATTGGCACCTCCAGGCCCACGTAGCCCTGGGCACCAACAGGCTGTCGGCTCTGCTGGCTTCAAAGTCCAGTTGACTGATGATGCCAAGGGCAACAGGGACCTTTTATTGGGCTCTGCTGTTTGCTCAGGAGCTCTGAAGCAGCACCTGAGCCAGAGGGATTTATTCCACGGCCCCTTGGCTGAGGCTTCCGCGGCTTCCCTGGTTCCTCCTGCAGGTTTTCCCCACTTTCTGCCCCCAAGGTGGGCATCCCGAGAGCTCCAGGGAGTTCCCCTGCCCTCGACAGCGCCGAGGGGTGACCTTGGGAGCTCTGTCCCCATCTCCCACCCCCAGGAGCAGCCCCCACGGCCTCGGAGCTGTGCCAACCCCTCAGCCCCGGGCGAGCTGGCTCCCACCCTCGGGCTGGCGTGGAGCAGGGAGGGAGCCTCGTTATTTTTAGCAGCCTGGGATTCTTAAATGAGCCTCGAAATGGCCGGTTCTGGAGCTTTATAAAAACACACACGGGAGCCAGACGTCGTGAGCTCCCGCTGTGGGTCCGGCTGCCCCTCCCCAGCCCTGCTGGTGTCACTGGGGGCCCCTGGGAGCCACCAGCCGGGACCTTGGAGGGGCAGCAAAGCAGCTCCTGTGCCCTGGGCTCGCGTAAACTGCAATTTTCATTCCAAACCCATAATGTTGGCTTGCCCTTGGACGCGGGACATCTTTCCCTGCCCGAGGGCCTCGTGTTTCTCCGGCTTGTTTGTGCATTCCCCAGCCTTGCCCTGGGCTGTGGGGGAAAAGATGAGCTGCCTGCTGGCCCCAGAGGCTCATAAACACGAGTTATTTCGCTCAAAGTGGGTGATTTTTGGGGCGTTCAGCTCCAAATCCTGACTTGCCCTCAAGCTGAGCCGTGTTTGTCCCCGTTCTTGGGGCAGCAGATGTCCTGCTGATCTTGGAAAAAGGGGAAACCCCGGGGAAAAGCTGAAGTTTGCCAAATTGAGAGCCAGTGGCTGGGTGAAACAGGGATTTCGTGGTGTGAGGTGAGTCAGGGAGGGCTCTGCCAGCCCCCTCTCCTCTATTAATTTTCCTACAAGCGTTTATTCATGTCAGGTAAAGGGAGAGCAAAGCTTCTTTGTCGGCTTCTCCCTTTCTAAAATAGCCTCTAATTGCATGCTGCTGGCTCTGCAGCCCGAGGACATATTTTATATTTATATTTATATTTATATTTATATTTATATTTATATTTATATTTATATTTATATTTATATTTATATTATTTATACCCTCCCTGCATGGGGCTGGTCAGGGCTGGGGGTCCCCTTAGTGCCTCCCCTTTGGTGCAGGGGTTGTGCCCCGTCAGCTCAGTCTTGCAGAGGGGTTTTAGTGCCCCAGGAGGGGCTCTTTGTGGCAGGACACTCCTCATCCTCGTGCTGAGCTCAGCGTTGACTTGGTGGCAGATTTGGGGATTCATGGAATCCCAGAGCGGTTTGGGATGGGAGGGAGCTCAAAGCTCATCTCGTCCCACCCCTCTGCCGTGGCCAGGGACACCTTCCACCATCCCAGCTTACTCCAAGCCCCGTCCAACCTGGCCTTGGACACTTCCAGGGATGGGGCATCCTTTGGGAAATCTATTCCAGGGCCTCCCCACCCTCACAGGGAGGAATTTCTTTCCCAGTACCCCATCTAACGCTGCCCTCTGGCAGTGGGGAAGCCATTCCCCCTTGTCCTGTCCCTCCAGGCCCTTGTCCAAAGTCTCTCCAGCTCTCCTGGAGCTGCATCTCTGTCCTGTTCTGCCCCTGGGAACATCCCCACTTTGCCTTTCCAGCCTGGCAGCACCCAGGGCTTGGTTTGCCTCCGTTCCAAATCACCTCATTTAAACCCAGGCACCTTTAGAAACCTTCCCAAACGGAGAGAGGAGCTTTCCTCACTGAGGAACTTTATCCAAGGCCAAGTGACATCTCCAGAGGCAACGGAGAATCTGCCCTTTGGATGGAGCAGCTCAGCTCTGCCTGGAAAGTGCCATTTTAGAGCCTCTCACCCTGCTGCAAGGCCCTCCTGGGAGCTCTGGCTTTGCCCCTTTGCCTTGGAAGATTCTGGCTCTGACCCTTTGACCCTTTGCCTTGGAAGATTTTTTTTGGCTTTGCCTCTTTGACCCTTTGTCCTTGGAAGATTTACAGCCCCGATTGCAGCGGTGGGTGAACATGGCACAGTGTGGTTTTGGTGGAAGAGAGGCTTGTTATTTTAAGTGTTGTTTCTCTTGTATCCTGCAGTGAGATTTCTTTCTCCTGCACACACAAACATGTGCTCCAGCCAGTTATTCCAGCAAAGCCAGGCTTAAAGGTGGGTAAATGTTTAATAACACGGCCCCCACTCTGCTCTCTTTTGTTGCTGGGGGGGTTTCTCTGCAATCCTTCCACCCATCTCATGGCCTTCAAAATACCTGTGCAGATCCAGAAAGCTGCTTTACCTGCCAGGTTGGACAGGGCTTGGAGCAACCTGGTCTAGTGGAAGGTGTCCCTGTTGGAACAAGATGGGCTTTAAGGTCCCTTCCCACCCAAACCATTCTGGGATTAACCTGTGGTTGAACCCCTTGGCTGTGTCCTTGTAAGAAGTTCTCCTTCTCCACACTGTCCAGCAGTGCCTGAACCTCCAGCTCAAAGCTGTAGATGCACCCAAACATGTGCAGCCTCTCCAACTTCACAGAATCCCAGAGTGTTCCCAGCTGGACGGGCCCCACAAGAACCATCAAGTCCAGCTTTTAAGGGAATGACCCGTAGTGGGGTTGGCCCCACACCTTTGGTGTTGTTAGCACTGGGCTCTACCCAGCTGAGCTCATCTCAGGGTCTTCTCTTGACCTTCTCCAGCTGAACACAGCCAGGTCAGAGACACCCCCACCACCCCCAGCACCCCTCGGCAGCATTTTGCCGTCCGGGAGCCGCGTTCGTCCTCCCATCTCCTCCCGAGGTTTGGAGCGGCCTCTTGGAGAGCCAAACCGGGGCTGACTGGGTGTTTTTCTGCCCCTCCCCAGGAGAAGCATGAAGAGGAAGGCCATGTTCACCTGCCCCTTCAACGGGGACTGCAAGATCACCAAGGACAACCGGCGGCACTGCCAGGCGTGCCGGCTCAAGCGCTGCGTGGACATCGGCATGATGAAGGAGTGTGAGTACGACCCCGGGGCACATCCCAGCTCCAGCTGGCCATGCCCAGCTCCCTCTCCGTCCCCAGGGCTGGGAAGGGCAGCACAAAACCTGGACACCCTCCCGGGACTCGAGGGGGATGCAAAGGGCAGCGGATGTGGTGGGTTAATCATCTGAGAGGAGCTCGTTTAATGATCCCTGTGGGCACTGGAGTGATCCAGGAGCTGCTTTTCCCAAGGCCAAGTGGCTTTTCCCGGCTCTCGAGGGGCATCAGCTTTTTGTGAGAGTGTCCAGGGAGGTTTGTGGTCGATGCCTGGGCACACTGGTTGATTCTGTTGCGTCTTGGATTCCTTGGGTCGTGCTCGAGGGCCTCCCTCTGCGTGCCAGGGGGGTGATGGTAAATCTGCTGGTTAAATTTTGGGCGTGAGTTTGGGTTTGATTGTGGGGTTTAGACAGAAAAAAAAACACCTCCTGACACCTAAAGATTGTATCCATACCTAAAATATATCGATGTTTTTATCAGTTACTACACAAAGACATTTTTCTGCGTGTTTTGGATTGGGGCAGAAAGTTTCCTGTATCCTCTCTGCTCGGAGCAGAAAGTAGGTGTTTTTGAGACTGATATTTGTGGTTATTTTCCCCCATCAGTTCTCTCTCAGAGGGGCAGTCCTGCAAATTCCAGTGGACTTGTGTTTTTCCTTACCCTTTGTGTCCTGTGTCTGAGCAAAGAAATTAATGTTTGTTGGTTCTGAATTACAGAGTTCCCGTTCACTAATTAGTGTTCTACCTATTGGTTATTGATTTCTCACTGTTTATGTTAATTAATCCACACTTTTAGTCATTTTAGTATCTTTTTTTCCACCGGTAGGGACTTTCCAACACGAAGGCTGAGTCTTTGTTGGTCTCTTCTTTATCTTCTGCTTTCTGTAAGATGTCCTTGTGATCCATAAATTCTGCATTCCAGATGTCCAACTTCAACAATCCATCTTTCCCTCCCAGGCTTTGTACATCGGAGCAAATCAGAGTTAGTTTATCAAAACCTTAATTTAAATTAAGACTTTAATTAACTTCAATTAGAACTTAATTCTCCCGAGCTGTGTTCCCTCAAAAGCACCTTGTGACAACTTTGCTAAACGCTGGCTAAGGGTAATTTAAGAATAGCATAATTAATATCTATTGGTTATGATTAATTAAAACAATGAATTAGAAGATATTTAAAACCATTAACTAAAATTATTAAAAAGTTCTATCCTTCCCAACAGAGCTGGATTGTGTTTTCCTCCTCTGTAGCTCTGGGCTCTTTTTTTTTTTTGGGGCCCTGCCATGTGGGTCCATCCAGCCACGTGCACAGCAGAGTCTTAAGTAAACAGCAGAGGGAAGTAAAGTAGTTTTTAACCCAATCCAAACAGGCTAATGTTGCCCAAATATTTATTTTCCTCGGCTGTATTTATGGATAAGCAGCTTTTAAAAACAAAATGTGTTTGACGTGCTCCCCTCCTACGTCGCACGAGCTCTCCACGTCCCGGCTCCTCGGGAGCAGGTCGGTGGTCACGGAGTGTTCAAACCCAACAACAGCTCCTGCTGGGAGACCGTGGGCAGGGGTGTCCATGGACCTGGGAGTCTGGAAAATGGAAGGGGTGCTCCTTGCCTCGTGTGGTGAGCAGGGGACAAACAGTGCCACCGAAAACCTCCCGGTCCTCCGGGGAAATCGGAACGTGGAGGGGTTTGCAGGGAAGCAGCACCTAAATATTCCACGGCCCTAAAGATCCCTGATGAAGAGAAAAATCCCTGGATATTATTCTTTTAAAACAAAGGGAGAGAAAGGCCACGCAGGGCACCGTCTGCCCCCGAGTTTTGGGGAGCACGAGGAGCCCGTGGTGGGCGCCGGTTGAACGGCTCGTTCGGGGCTCATTCGGAGCTAATGAGGGAGACTTTTGACCTGCACTAATTACTCAGGGCAGGCTGGAGAGTGCCTGGGCAGAGATGCCAAGCTGTTTGCTCCAGGTGCCAGGGACAGGCATGTTCTGCACGGGAGTTAACGTGTAAGTGACCCCGTTAGCAAACCGTGACTGGATTAACCAAAACCAACCCCCCGGGACTAAAAATAGCCTTCCATGGACTTTGCCACCGGACACTGCCATTATTTTTAGATGGAATAAGGCATCTTGAAGCTTTTGAGGGGGTTGGTGTCTTCCACAAGGCTGTTGTTTGTGTTGTTTGGGAATGTCTCTGTCGCTCTGGAAGGCAGGTCTCCAGCCTGGGGATGCCTCTGGCTGCCCTGTTCCCTTCCTGCTGCTTTTTCCTGGGATGATAATGGTAATTCCTGGCCTGAATGGGCTGTAAAGCTGGGCTGATGGCCTGGGGCTGGACTATCCCACCTGCTGTGCCACTGCTTTAGGTGGCCAGAAAATGGGGGAGGAATTGCTCCTTCCCTGCAAAACTGCCCTTTTTCCAGCAGCCTGGAGCTGAGGAAGGGACACCCATCCCTCGGGGATTGGATCCACACCGTGGGGTGTTGGATGGGCTCCCTCAGGGAGCCTCCAGTGTCTCTGCCCCTTCTCCCCCAACCTTTAACAGCTCCTGTGTTCTCAGTCTTCACGTGTTCTCCAGAGAAGGTGGTGCCACTCAACCCTCAGCACCCCTTATCCCTTTTCCAAGGAAAAGGCTGGCTGGGATGTGGCTGGAGCCTCGAGCAGCTGGTGCTCAGCACCCTCCCCACGAGGTTTGATTTATGATCTCAGGGCTGAAAATCCCCAGAGGGGAGGAGAACAAAAGCAGAACCAAACCAGCATCTCACAGCCAGGGAGAGGAGCAGAAGTGGGAAGGAATTTCCCCGGAATTTCCCCAGATGCTCAGGGAAGCAGGAAGGGTTATGGTTGTGTAGGGTGAGGGTGAGCAGGGGGGGACACGACCTCTCCTCCTCTCCTCCACTTCCCAAAGAGGTGGTGGCCCTCAAAGCCAAGACATCCCTGCTGCTCTAAGCATGGGATGTGTTATTCCCGAGCCCGGGAGCCGCTGCCAGGCTCTGGCACTCCCAGATGTTTCCTAAACTTCCTTTTTCTTTTATATTTGGCTGCTCTTTCCTGGTTGATGGAGCCTTTGTGCTGCCCCCCCAGCCCCCCCCCCCATCCTGCAGCACTTCCAAGCCCCTGGTTTTGGCCAGGGGTGCAGAGCTGGATCCTCACCCTGTATCCCTGTATCCCTGTATCCTCGTGCTCCACAGTCCCAGGGGTGTTGGCCGTGGCTTTCCCTGCTGCCTTGTGGCGTCTCCACAGAGGGCCAGTGTCTGGCTGGACGTGATGGGCAGATGTTATCTCGGCCTCCACACGGATTTGGGGTCAGGGCAGCCCACAGAGGCTCAGCCACGGCGCCGGCTGTGCCAGGAGTCTGTGGCTGGATGGCTCTGGCTCGGCGCTCGGAAAGCTCGGAGCTGGGATGGGAGCTGGGATCTCAGGGCAGGTGTTGAGCCGCTTCCCAGCCCTGTATTCCCACTCCCATCCTCCCATGAGTCCAAATAAGCACTGAATCCTTTTCCCCAGCACTTTATAAAGCAGTGGAGGAGGGTCACTGCACTGACATCCCTCATCCACCTTATCCCTGGTCCTGCGGAAAAGCCGGTTCCTCTGGCACGGAGCGTTTCAGGTTTGCTGCTAATCACCAGAAACAGCTCCTGCCAGGCTGAGAAATGCCACTGCCAGACTGTTGCCAGCCTGGTTGAGGGCTGGATTCCCTAAAAGAGGGTGGGAAGTCCCAGGCTGACTTCCTCAGCAGTCTTGCCCCAGCATAAAAACATCCTTATCTTTCCATTCCGCTCTGTGGATGCCTCCCAATGTTCCTGGGATCATAGAATAGTTTGGGTTGGGAGAGACCAATAGAGGTCATCTAGTCCTTGCAGGATCCCAAATTTGCCTGGTGTAACCTGCAAGAATCCCCTCTGAGGCCCCGATCCTCGGGACACTTCCAGCACCGCGGCCACAGCCAAGGGCTCGGCTTTGCCCCATCCTCCTCCTCAGCCCCACACGTGGCTTCCCCCACCAGTTTCTCCCCATGCCCACATGGATCTGATGCTTTTGTACGAAGAACTGGGAGGGGGGATGGCAAAACTCTTGATTTCTCTCCCCGAGCAGTCGCGCCGTGCCCCGCGGAGCCGCCGTAACGCGCCCGCGGCCGAGGTGACCTTTCAGCTCTATCTGCTCATTCCCGTCTCTCCGAGACCTTCTGGTGCCCTCTGAGGTTGTGCAAGTTTGAAAAGGGATCGGAAAAATGCCGTTGGCTAAAGGAGCAGGGACGGCAAACAGCTCCTTGCCCGGAGCCCCACGGCTGCAGCTCCCTCCGCCCTCCGCCAACCTCTCGGCCCAAATTCCACCTCGACTCGCCCAGAGTCAAATCTCCTCACGCAGGGCAGGCTCAGCCACCTCGGCATCAGATAACACGCTTGGGGTTTTCTGTAATGCCCTGGTGAAAGGGCTAATAACAGCCTGAGGAAGGGGAATTGCTATTTTTAGGTGGATGTGTGTTACCAAGCGCTTTCGGGAGTGGCTGACGCGGCTACGGGGATGGAGGTTGAACCCAAGAGATCTGTGCAGCTCCCTTGTGCTTTTCTTCTCTTTCAGCCCTCTCAGGCCACTCAGGTCTCCAAGCTCTTTTTTATAAAGTTAAGATTTGAGCCCAGATTGCCTGTGGCTGCTCCCCTTCCCTAAATAAAGGGGACAATCCTAGTGTATCGCCTCGGAGTCCAACCCTTGGCTGCTTCTGAGGGCCATCACCCCTAACACAGGCCATAAATACCCACCCCTGGGAGTGGGGGGTGTTTATGTGTGCCCTTAGCTTAAACACAAGGTTAGAACTCCCCTGGGGATGCTGCAGAAGTGCTGCTGGATACCCAGGGTGGCAGCTGGGGCCGAGCAGAGCTGCGCTGGGCACTGGAGCTGGGCGAACCCACTGACCCGAGTCTGGCGGGATCAGGATTTCTGTCACCTGGAAAGCACAGAGCAAACAGCGAGGGAGCAGAGCGGGCGTGTGGCAGTGCTCATGTGGCCTTATCTCACCCAGCCCTTGCCTAAAAGCACCATAAACTGCCGGGCACAGCGGGAAGCCGTGACCCGGCAGCCGAGGTGACAGCGGGGTGGGGTCGATGCAGGTTCAATGACTGATTATCCAGGCGATGGGGACACTCTCTGCCGCAGCCTGGGGTTGCTCCAGTCCCTGTTTCTGCCCCTTCCCCTGCCCCACAGTCATCCTGACGGACGAGGAGGTGCAGAGGAAGCGGGAGATGATCCTGAAGCGCAAGGAGGAGGAAGCGCTCAAGGAGAGCCTGAAGCCCAAGCTCTCGGAGGAGCAGCAGAGGGTCATCGACATCCTGCTCGAGGCCCATCGCAAAACCTACGACCCCACCTACGCCGACTTCTCCAAGTTCCGGGTACGGCCGGGCCGCCCCCGCCCCCGTGGGCAGCCCCCCGATGCTCCAAACCCCTCTCACCCCTCAGAGAGGAGTTAAAAATCCCCCTGCGGAACCCTCGCTGCTCGTGGCAGCAGGTGAACAACCACCACACATCTCCCCTTCCCGACCCCGGCCCTCACGCCCTGCCCTTCTCTTCCAGCCCCCCGTGAGAAGCCACCCCAACAACAGGGGGGCAACAAAGTCCTCCTCTCTCCTCACCCAGGACCTGTC